TATCTTTAGAAATGTGCTGAAAAAATCTTCTCTCCGTTAAACAGGAATTGGGGAAAAAATATACAGGAGGGCTTTTTTAGTCGTCTCAACTTACATCAATCAAACCGACTAAAAATGTTACGTTAAACTTTGTATAACTTAAAAAAAAATGGTCGAAACCTGAATAACTTATCAAAACAACTTAAAGCAACCTAAAAGTATCTGTTGTCTTGACTTCATTCATTTTCTTTTCGGCTTTGTCCCTTTATTATTCTGGGGTCGCCACAGCGGAATGAACTGCCAACTTATCCAGCACGTTTTTATGCAGCGGATGCCCTTCCAGCTGCAACCCATCTCTGGGAAACATTCACACACACTCATGCACACACTCATACACTACGGACAATTTAGCCTACCCAATTCACCTGTACCGCATGTCTTTGGACTGTGGGGGAAACCGGAGCAGCCGGAGGAAACCCACGCGAACGCAGGGAGAACATGCAAACTCCACACAGAAACGCGCAACTGACCCTGCCGAGGCTCAAACCAGTGACCGTCTTGCTGTGAGGCGACAGCACTACCTACTGCGCCACTGCGTCGCCTGTCTTGACTTGATGTCAGAATGTTTTTTGTGTATAAACACAATACACTGTAAAAAAACAACTTAAAATTGCAAGGCGACGAGCTGAAGAGTACTGCATTTGAGTCTACTCAAAAAGCTCTACACAATTGCAGCAAGCAAATTTTAAGTTGAGTCAACTTAAAAAAAAAAATTTCAGATCCTCAACATTTTACAACAAAGGCTCATGCTGAAAACGTACACCTATATACATTTCTGGAGATCGCGAATTATGGAGCCAGATGTACATATGGCTGCATTTAATTTTTAAAACGAACGCTACGGGGGACGAAGCAGTGGTGCAGTAGGTAGTGCTGTCGCCTTACAGCAAGAAGCTCGCTGGTTCGAACCTTGGCTCAGTTGGCGTTTCTGTGTGGAGTTTGCATGTTCTCCCCGCCTTCGCGTGGGTTTCCTCCGGGTGCTCCGGTTTCCCCCACAGTCCAAAGACATGAGGTACAGGTAAATTGGATAGGCTAAATTGTCCGTAGTGTATGAGTGTGTGTGTGTGGATGTGTGTGTGGATGTTTCCCAGAGATTGGTTGCGGCTGGAAGGGCATCCGCTGCGTAAAAACTCTGCTGTGGCGACTCCGGATTAATGAAGGGACAAAGCCGACAAGAAAATGAATGAAGGAACGAACGCTACGGGGCGATGTGAGATGCAGAGAGGAGTTGACCGCGACGATGGGGTTCGAGTCTGGCAAAGAACGGTTCGAGAAAGCAGGTAAGACAAAAACAAAACATAAAATAAACAGGTTAATAACAGGGTGAGTATGTTTTTCTTTTTTTGGACTGCTTTTCAAAACACTTAGGTTGGGTTTAGGGAAGTAATTGGGCGCTGGTCAATTGGTGCCTTTTAAAACACTGTCGGTTGGGTTTAGGGAAGGGGGAGGTGGGGTTATTGGTCAGTCCGTCAGTTGACAGCGCACTATGGTGGATTTTTTGGTGGAAATTTAAGATCTAAAAAAGCGTACACAGCGGTCTCCGGTGGATTTGCGAAAACAAAAACTGCAAAAAACGTAGATCCTAGAATGTTTTGATGCTCTCCAGAAATGCACATAGGGGTACATTATCAGAATGAGCCTGGGTTGATGTTTTACATCAAAACCAATTTCTGAAACTTCTTTCATAAATCCAGGCCACAAAAGCTCAATTTATAGGGTTGTTTTTTAGTCAGTTATTTAAAATTTTACAATACAAATAATACCAATACAAAGTGAGAGGTTTTGATGAACACAGGCGCTTTTTTAATTTATTAGCAAACAATTTGGTTATCAAAATGTAATCATTTCTACAGCAAAAAAATGTATAAATAAACAATAATAACAAATTGAATTAAAACAAAATCCAGCATGAAAAGCTGCTTGTGCCTAATATTCAATAAAAAAGGGTAATGAAATGTTTAAATTAGCATCGTGAACACACAATCAACTTGACTTTGCCATAATAAAATATGAATCAGATAAAAAATCTTAGTGCAACTAATCCTTAAAAAAAGAAAGATAGATTGATAAAAGGAATGAGAACAAATAGATGTAAAACGTCGGCTAAATTATCTAAAGTGAAGCTATATTCAACACGTTTAGCTTACAACTTTGGTCACACTTGATAATAAGGTTTCATTTTGCTGTTAATGTATTTTCTAACAGTTTTGTACATCATTTAATATTATTCACAGCTCAACCTTTACTATTATTAACAGTGTTGGGAAAACAGTAACATTACTAATATCTAATATCTACTAATCTTACTAATTACTCATATCTATTGTCACTTTTAAAATATGTTGGTTACTTTTAAGAAATGTGAACGTGTCTGTTTCGTTGTTTTTGCATGTTTTAAAAAGTGTAAGATTAACTTTTAGGCTTAAAACTGTAATATATTACTTTGTACCCAAGAAACATCATTAAAATCCACATTTGTTCTTGCTACACTGTGAGTTCGCAAGGACTAATAATAACTTTGCTTTTCATTAACGTCAACAAAGATGATCAGATACTGTAATAAATGTACTGTTCCTTGTCTGTTCATGTCAGTAAATACATTAACTAATGCAACCTCTTCGTAAAATGTTACCAAAACATGCATTTCCTTTAAAACCAATTCCACTTTGTACTCCATAACGTCACATTTAGGACTGAACTTCCATCAGGAACATCCAGCAACTTAATTAAACAAGTCGATGGAGAATACATGGCCTATTTTACCCTCACTTAGTTGCTTTTTAAGATAAGAAGAGTGAAATTACTGTATGTTATTTTTAAATTTACACATCTTTTTAATGCTGCTGACATATTACTTTTTACCCAACACTGATCATTAAAATCCAAATTCATAATTGCTATTATACACTGTGTTAGCAAGAACTAACAATATCTTTATTTTCATTAACGTCGACAGTGATGAATAATGAACAAATACTGTAATAAATGTACTGTTCCTGTCAGTAAATACATTAACTAATGCAACATTATTGTAAATTGTTACCAAAACACACATTTCATTTAAATTCAGTCCCAGTTTATAGTCAATAACGACTGAAATTACATCAGGAACAAGATAACAAGTGTGAAATTATGTTATTTTTGCAATTTAAACATCTTTTTTAATGGTAACACATTACTTTTTACCCAAGAATGATCCTTAAAATTCAATTTAGTTCTTGCTAACATATACTGTGAGTCAGCAAGAGCTAAAAAAACATTTATTTATCAAATTACATCAACAAAACTGAATAAATACGTTCAGGTTAGTAAATACATCAACTAAACTGTAAAAAAAAAATAACCGTAAAGTAGCGTTTTCCATATTTTGTGATTCATATTTTTATTTTTCCCATTTATTAATGCTTTTGAACTGCAATATGGGACTTTAATCTCTTTTTCCAACAACGTTTAACCTTGAAAAGTTTGAAAAAGGGACTTTTATTAACATTTTTTATAGTTTAGAGTGATTTAGCGTCAGGTTTTGTGTACTATGCTACAGAAACCTTGTAATAAATGTCAATAAAAGTCACTTTGTTCAACTGTAGAGTTGAATTATCAACATCAAAAAAGTGGACAAAGCAGAGATCAACATCCCATAATGCAATTCACAAACATAAATAAACAAGAAACACTTGTGAGTCACAAAATATGGACATTGTTAACATTAATGCAGCCATATTCTAAAGTGTTACCAAAGCATGCATTTCAATTTAGTCCCAGTTTGTACTTAATAACATCTAATTTAGGACTGAACTTACATGAGGAACATCAAACAAGATAATTAAACAAGTCGATGGAGAATACATGGCATATTTTCTCCTTATTTACCTACTTTTCAAGATTAGAAATGTGAAAGGATGTTATTTTTTGCAATTTAAACATCTTTTTTAATGGTAACACATTACTTTTTACCCAAGAATGATCCTTAAAATTCAATTTAGTTCTTGCTAACATATACTGTGAGTCAGCAAGAGCTAAAAAAACATTTATTTATCAAATTACATCAACAAAACTGAATAAATACGTTCAGGTTAGTAAATACATCAACTAAACTGTAAAAAAATGACCGTAAAGTAGCGTTTTCCATATTTTGTGATTCATATTTTTATTTTTCCCATTTATTAATGCTTTTGAACTGCAATATGGGACTTTAATCTCTTTTTCCAACAACGTTTAACCTTGAAAAGTTTGAAAAAGGGACTTTTATTAACATTTTTTATAGTTTAGAGTGATTTAGCGTCAGGTTTTGTGTACTATGCTACAGAAACCTTGTAATAAATGTCAATAAAAGTCACTTTGTTCAACTGTAGAGTTGAATTATCAACATCAAAAAAGTGGACAAAGCAGAGATCAACATCCCATAATGCAATTCACAAACATAAATAAACAAGAAACACTTGTGAGTCACAAAATATGGACATTGTTAACATTAATGCAGCCATATTCTAAAGTGTTACCAAAGCATGCATTTCAATTTAGTCCCAGTTTGTACTTAATAACATCTAATTTAGGACTGAACTTACATGAGGAACATCAAACAAGATAATTAAACAAGTCGATGGAGAATACATGGCATATTTTCTCCTTATTTACCTACTTTTCAAGATTAGAAATGTGAAAGGATGTTATTTTTTGCAATTTAAACATCTTTTTTAATGGTAACACATTACTTTTTACCCAAGAATGATCCTTAAAATTCAATTTAGTTCTTGCTAACATATACTGTGAGTCAGCAAGAGCTAAAAAAAACATTTATTTATCAAATTACATCAACAAAACTGAATAAAAACGTTCAGGTTAGTAAATACATCAACTAAACTGTAAAAAAAATAACCGTAAAGTAGCGTTTTCCATATTTTGTGATTCATATTTTTATTTTTCCCCATTTATTAATGCTTTTGAACTGCATTATGGGACTTTAATCTCTTTTTCCAACAACGTTTAACCTTGAAAAGTTTGAAAAAGTGACTTTTATTAACATTTTTATTAGTTTAGAGTGATTTAGCGTCAGGTTTTGTGTACTATGCTACAAAAACCTTGTAATAAAGACAATAAAAGTCACTTTGTTCAACTGTAGAGTTGAATTATCAACATCAAAAAAGTGGACAAAGCAGAGATCAACATCCCATAATGCAATTCACAAACATAAATAAACAAGAAACCCTTGTGAGTCACTAAATATGGACATTGTTAACATTAATGCAGCCATATACTAAAGTGTTACCAAAACATGCATGTAATTACCATTCAGTCCTAATTTATACTCAACAGCATCACTATTAAGACTGTACTCACATGAGGAAACATCAAAACTCTTAGACAATCACACAAATGTTGAATGCATGGCATATTTAGACCCCCCCCCGCGCCCCTCGAAAAAAATGATGCCCACCAATTGAGGCAAAGAGTTTGTTTATTTCACACGTAGTCTCTTCTGTCGTACCCTACCCCACCTGTAGAGCGAGATGCGGGATACGGCATCCTAGACGGGTTGTATTTCTTCTCCTGAGGAGGGCAGGAGCAACAAAGCAAGGATCCCCCCATAATTAAAAGTGCGGCCGCGGCCCATCCAATGTATAACCCGGCACCCATCTCTCGCCTCTGAGCATCAGGCAGCAAAGGGTTATAAAAGTCCCTGATGATACTATTAGCCGACCAGGACACGGGAATCAGCTGCATGAGACCAGCCAAAATGAAGAGCACCCCTCCGAAGATCATGACTTTGGCTTTGGATGACTCTTCCTCGATGCAGTTTGTGCATTTGGCTCCTCCGATGGACACTAAGACGGCCAGGACGGTCAGAAGGATGGATATGACGGTCAGCGCTCGAGCCGCCTGGAGGTCCTGGGACAGAGCCAACATGGAGTCGTAGACTTTACACTGCATCTGTCCGGTGCTCTGAACCACGCAGGACATCCACAAACCGTCCCAGATGATCTGCGCGGTCACTATGTTGGAGCCGATGAAGGCGGTGACCCTCCACATCGGGATAGCACAGGCCACAATAGCCAAAAGCCAGCCTAAGACACATAGAATAATCCCCACGAGCTCCAATCCGAAAGACATGGCTTGCTGAGAAATTCCAGAGCTGGAGAGTAAACGGGGAAATTTGAGCACCTGCGATTCAAGACGAATTTCAGAGCAAATGGAGTGGATCTGTGAGAAAACAAGTGTCCTTTATATCCCAGATCAGGTGGAGAGGAGGAGGAGGAGGAGTCAGTGCTGGGCACTGCTGTTCATTCTTACACTGCACACAAAAGTATATGCTTTACTTTGAGTTTTTGTCCTAATTCTAGTCTGAATATCTGCAAATTCTTAAATCAAGAAGCGTTGACAATCGAGAAATACTTTAGGTCACAATTCATGCTATTTACTACCGGCTTATTACCTGACTATTATTAAGATATGAACTGTTTATTAGCTCTTATAAAGTATGATCTTATTCTGCATCACTAGTCCTAGCCAATACCCAAACCCAACTAATACCTCCCTAACTATTAATAAACAGCTTATTAGTCGTTTATTAAGCTAATAGTGTTAGTTAATGGTTTGCTAATATACTGAATTGTGATCTAAACTAGTGTTACCGAAGCATTTTCTAGACATAGCTTGTGTTACTTGGAGTTTTTGTCTTGTTTCTAGTATAAATATCTACAAATTTTTAAATCAAGAAGTGTTGGTGACACTTTAGTTTAGCTCACAATTTATGCTACTCACTACTGGCTTTTTACCTGCCTATTGTTAAAATATTCACAGTTTATTAGCTCTTATAAAGTATGATCTTATTCTGCATCACTAGTCCTAGCCAATACCCAAACCCAACTAATACCTCCCTAACTATTAATAAACAGCTTATTAGTCGTTTATTAAGCTAATAGTGTTAGTTAATGGTTTGCTAATATACTGAATTGTGATCTAAACTAGTGTTACCGAAGCATTTTCTAGACACAGCTTGTGTTACTTGGAGTTTATTTTAGGACACAATTCATGCTATTCACTACTGGCTTATTACCTGCCTATTGTTAAAATATGAACTGTTTATTAGCTCTTATAAAGTTTGATCTTATTCTGCATCACTAGTCCCAGCCAATACCCAAACCTAAACCCAAATAAGACCTTACTAACTATTAACAAACAGCTTATTAGTAGTTCATTAAGCTAGTAGTGTTAGTTACTGGTTTGCTAATATACTGAATTGTGATCTAAACTAGTGTTACCGAAGCATTTTATAGACATAGCTTGTGTTACTTGGAGTTTTTGTCTTGTTTCTAGTCTAAATATCTACAAATTCCTAAATCAAGAAGCGTTGGTGACACTTTAGTTTAGCTCACAATTTATGCTTCTCACTACTGGCTTATTACCTGCCTATTGTTAAAATATTCACGGTTTATTAGCTCTTATAAAGTATGATCTTATTCTGCATCACTAGTCCCAGCCAATACCCAAACCTAAACCCAAATAAGACCTTACTAACTATTAATAAACAGCTTATTATTAGTTAATTAAGCTCATAGTGTTAGTTAATGGTTTGCTAATAAACTGAAATGTGATCTAAACTAGTGTTACCGAAGCATTTTCTAGACACAGCTTGTGTTACTTGGAGTTTTTGGCTTGTTTCTAGTCTAAATATCTACAAATTCCTAAATCAAGAAGCGTTGGTGACACTTTAGGTGACAATTCATGCTAATAACTGCTGGCTTATTAACTGCCTATTGTTAAAATATTCACAGTTTATTAGCACTTATAAAGTATGATCTTATTCTGCATCACTAGTCCCAGCCAATACCCAAACCTAAACCCAAATAAGACCTTACTAACTATTAATAAACAGCTAATTATTAGTTCATTAAGCTAGTAGTGTTAGTTAATGGTTTGCTAATATACTGAATTGTGATCTAAACTAGTGTTACCGAAGCATTTTCTAGACATAGCTTGTGTTACTTGGAGTTTTTGTCTTGTTTCTAATCTAAATATCTACAAATTCTTAAATCAAGAAGTGTTGGTGACACTTTAGTTTAGCTCACAATTCATGCTAATAACTGCTGGCTTATTACCTGCTTATTATTAAGATATGAACTGTTCATTAGTAGTTATGAAGTATGATCTTATTCAGCATTACTAGTCCTAGCCAATACCCAAACCTAAACCCTACTAATACCTTACTATTAATAAGCAGCTAATTATTAGTTAATTAAGCTCGTAGTGTTAGTTAATGGTTTGTTGATAGCATGAAATGTGACAAACTAAAGTGTTAGGCATGCTGCACACTGCAAAAAAGGGGCGACACAGTGGCATTAAGTCTAGAATGTAAGTCTATACACTGTAAACCCTAATGTTGCCTTTCCTTAAACAATCAAGTGAAACTGACTGAACATGACTTAAAATTGAGCATTTTGGTCCTGTCACAACTTAAATACAATGAAAATGCAGAAAACTTAAGATTTCAAGTAAATATCATCTTGTTTACGGAAATTAAGAGTCAAAATGAAGTGAGTTTTTCTTTAAATGCTCAATGATGCTCCAGGAAAAATGCACGCTGAAAAAAAAAATAGCTTGTGTTACTTGGATTTTTTGTCCTGTTTCTGGTCTAAATATTTACAAAATGTTAAATTAAGAAGCGTTGGTGACACTTTAGTTTAGGTCATAATTCATGTTATTAATTACTGGCTTATAATCCGATTATTAGGATATTAACAGTTTGTAATTAGTTATAAAGTATGAACTTATGCTGCATCCCTAGTCCTAGCCAATACTCAAACCTAAACCCAACTAAGACCTTACTATTAATAAGCAGCTAATTATTAGTTAATTAAGCTAGGAGTGTTAGTTAATGGTTTGTTAACAGCATGAAATGTGACAAACTAAAGTGTATTGAAGCATTTTTTGGACAAGTTAATTTTTTTATTTTTATTTTTTGTAAGGAATAATGAGTCAAAATGAAGTTAGTTTGTCATTAAATGCTCAATGACGCTCCAGGAAAAATGCACACTGCAAAAAAACAGCTTGTGTTACTCGGATTTTTTGTCTTGTTTCTAGTCTAAATATCTGCAAATTCCTAAATCAAGAAGTGTTGGTGACTGTTTAGTTTAGTTCATAATTCATGTAATTAATTACTGACCTATTACCTGCCTGTTGTTAAGATATGAACTGTTCAATAGTAGTTATAAAGTATGATCTTATTCTGCATTACTAGTCCTAGCCAATAGCCAAACCTAAACCCAACTAATACCTTACTATTAATAAGCAGCTAATTGTTAGTTAATTAAGCTCGTAGTGTTAGTTAATGGTTTGTTGATAGCATGAAATGTGACAAACTGAAGTGTTAGGCTATTTACTGTCATCATGACAAAGATAAAATAAATCAGTTATTAGAGATGAGTTATTAAAACTATTATTTTTAGAAATGTGTTGAAAAAATCTGCTCTCCATTATACAGAAATTGGGGAAAAAATAGACAGGGAGGCTAATAATTCTGATTTTAACTGTATATGTTTTTTTAAGACACTTTACATTTATTGCAAAAATAATAATATATATGATTGAATCATACGTCCCCTTTTATCTTAGGGTGTAAAAGGAATATTGTGTCGAGAGACAGTCAGGTTGGAGGTGTTAAGCGGAAAGAAGTCACCACCACAGCACAGTTTCATGTGGATGCTACGTCTGAGGAAACAAGCGTTAAACCAAATACACCTGAACCAAAACGACTAAGAAATTCACAAGGTACATTATCTATGGAAGCTAAATAAAAATAAAAAAAATACAATGTAAAAAAAAATTATAAAGTCAGAATTCCGAATTACAAAGTCAGAATTCTGGGTTATTAAGTCAGATTTGTTAGTTATAAAGTCAAAATTTTGAGTTAAGTCAGAATTCCAACTTATAAAGTCAGAATTTCAAGTTAAGTCAGAATTTCGAGTTATTAAGTCAGAATTTTGAGTTATAAAGTCAGAATTGCGTGTTATTAAGGCTGTACTCACACTATGTACAGTTGCCTCGAACCGGGCCAAAGTACGCTTGTTCCCCCTCCCGTCTCCCCCGACGGCCCGCACTCACACTACAATCAGGCCTGGGAGCACTTACGTCATCGATGCTGCGCTGTTCAGTGAGCGCTCTCGCTCAGCACAGTGGAGATTTCTCTAGTTATATCGTTTCGGTCGTTTGATATGCAGTAGGCCCTAAGTCAGAATTTTGAGTTATAAAGTCAGAGTTTCGAGTTATTAAGTCAGAATTTCAAGTTATTCAGTCAGAATTTTGAGTTATTATGTCAGAATTTCGAGATATTAAGTCAGAATTCCGAGTTATAAAGTCAGAGTTTCGAGTTATTAGGTCAGAATTGCGAGTTATTAAGTCAGAATTTTGAGTTAAGTCAGAATTTTTAGTCATTAAGTCAGAATTGCGAGTTATAAAATCAGAGTTTCAAGTTATTATGTCAGAATTTCGAATTATAAAGTCAGAATTTTTAGTTATTAAGTCAGAATTTAAAGACATTAAGTCAGAATTACAAGTTATTGAGTCAGAATTGCCAGTTATTAAGTCAGAATTACGAGTTATTGAGTCAAAATTGCCAGTTATTAAATCAGAATTACGAGTTATTGAGTCAGAATTGCCAGTTATTAAGTCAGAATTACGAGTTATTAAGTCAGAATTGCAAGTTATTAAGTCAGAATTATGAGTTATTGATTCAGAATTGCCAGTTATTAGGTCAGAATTACGAGTTATTAAGTCAGAATTGCCAGTTATTAAGTCAGAATTACGAGTTATTAAGTCAGAATTGCCAGTTATTAAGTCAGAATTGCGAGTTATTAAGTCAGAATTATGAGTTATTGAGTCAGAATTGCCAGTTATTAAATCAGAATTATGAGTTATTAAGTCAGAATTACGAGTTATTGAGTCAGAATTGCCAGTTATTAAGTCAGAATTACGAGTTATTAAGTCCGAATTAAGTCAGAATTACGAGTTATTAAGTCAGAATTACGAGTTATTGAGTCAGAATTGCCAGTTATTAAGTCAGAATTGCCAGTTATTAAGTCAGAATTACGAGTTATTAAGTCAGAATTGCCAGTTATTAAGTCAGAATTACGAGTTATTAAGTCAGAATTGCCAGTTATTAAATCAGAATTACGAGTTATTAAGTCAGAATTACGAGTTATTAAGTCAGAATTGCCAGTTATTAAGTCAGAATTACGAGTTATTAAGTCAGAATTACGAGTTATTAAGTCAGAATTACGAGTTATTGAGTCAGAATTGCCAGTTATTAAGTCAGAATTGCCAGTTATTAAGTCAGAATTACGAGTTATTAAGTCAGAATTGCCAGTTATTAAGTCAGAATTGCCAGTTATTAAATCAGAATTACGAGTTATTAAGTCAGAATTACGAGTTATTGAGTCAGAATTGCCAGTTATTAAGTCAGAATTACGAGTTATTGAGTCAGAATTACAAGTTATTAAGTCAGAATTTCGAGTTATAAAGTCAGAGTTTTGAGTTATTAATTCAGAATTGAGAGTTATTAAGCCAGAATTGAGAGTTGTAAAGTCAGAGTTTCGAGATATTAAGTCAGAATTCCGAGTTATAAAGTCAGAATTGAAAGTTATTAAGTCAGAATTGCCAGTTTATCTGACTCCATTTATAAAACATTAATAAGATTATTTTGTTTCTTTCAATATTACTTTAGATTAAATATTCTGTTCGATTCGTTATTTTATATTAATCTTATTTATTCGGATTCCTATAACATTCTGAGTCTTGTAGGGAATCAAAATCACTATTAATCGTTTGAAAAAAAAAAACAGGTTGTTTTAAATGTAGTCTTGACTGTACAATTCTAATAAGTGCAACCCTTTAGTGAAGGTTTTTTTTTTTATCAGAAAACAAGGCTTCATGTATAATTATTCACCATAATGGGAATAAATGGCGACATTTATTCATATAATTACACAAAGACACACACACTGAACTGAACAATTTTAAGATAATCTACCAAACCGGCAAGTTAAATAAACTTAAATAGGCAAGTTTTGGGAGACTCTGTCACTCAATTAAATTGAGGCAACGAGTTTACTCAATTTCATTCAGTTAACGTATTAGGGTTTTAATGCAACTTAATTGCTTTATGTTTAATCCACTTTCATTTGTAAATCGTAATTAGATAACTTAATTAATTCATGTTGTCCTAACACAAATCATTTGTGTGGAACCCAGCATTATTTACAATGTACGGTTAGATCCCTTTAGCGGACACTAGAGAGCAGCACTCTTTCCAAGTTTTGCTGGAGGTGCGCTTCAGTGTCATGTGCTTTATGAACAAACTGAACTGAACTTCAACTGTGACATTTAGACTGGAACTACACCAGCAATAAATATATAACAAATACATTCGTTAATGAACAGTTTCTGTGTTTTGAGATTCACAGGAGTTCTCTGCTTGTTTACGGCTGTCAGTTGCATTATGGGATGTTGATCTCTGCTCTGTTTACTTTTGATGTTGACAATTCAACTCCACACTTTAACAAAGTGACTCTTAGTGACATTTTAATTCCTTGAAATTATGTAAATGCAATTCAAAAGCAGAAATAAACGTGGAAAAATTAAAACATGGATCAGAAAACTGCTCATTTAAAGATATTTTTTTAATGTGTAGGGAGAACATATTTTCATTTTTGGATGAACTATCACTTTAAATAGCTGCGTTATAGACACTGGAGCTTGTTTTCCTGACTATTGAACTCTTTAGTAGTTAAAACACATAATTATACAGGCATCCTCTGAGCAGTAAGGCAGGTGGATTTATCTTCATCTGGTCTCAGTTTACGCTCTCCTGACTCCAGATTTGGCCACCAAAGACTTTCGAGATTTACTAGAACAAGCAGTGCATTGTTTCCATTTGCATGTGACCCAGAAATCAGTGCTGGGTAAAGTTACTTTTAAAGTAATGCATTACAGTTTTTAGGCACTTTGTTAACATTTTTTTAAAGTAACTTAATGTGTTATTTTAATGCAATCTCACGGCAATTCGTAACTTTTAGCTCTAGTCTCGAATTTGTACGATCTAATTCGTACAATTTAGTACGATTTGCTCATCACCCAGTGACGGTTGGGGTTAGGTGCCACGCCTCCTTTTTAAAATCATATATTTTCGTACGACTGAACTCGTACGAATTTGTATGAATTAGCCACTAAACTGACAAAAATACGTACGTTTCTTCAGGTTCAGGCTGGTTATTTAGTCATTTTTTGGAGGAAATGTTAACATTCATTCATTTTCCTTTGGCTTAGTCCCTTATTTATCAGGAGTCGCCCAGCGGAATGAACTGCCAACTATTCCAAGATATCTTTTACTCAGCGAATGCCTTTCGCTGTAAACTTAATTGCTTCACGTTCTCCCAACACAAATCGATTTGTGTGGAACCTTTTTTCAAATCGTTAAAGTGTCCTCCTAAACCACATAAACCAGGTGTCAAAGTCAATTCCTGTAAGCCGCAGCTCTGCACAGTTTTGCTCCAACCCTAATCAAACACAGCTGATTCAAATAATCGAGGAATCAAAAGAGTCTTGAACACATCGGTTAACAGAATCAGCTGTGTTTGATATATAATTTTATTTTTATTAAATAATTAAGTTGCCCCCCTCCCCCCAATCTCAATAATTGTGTTAGTTCAGCTTATTTTAAATATGTAAACAGGCAGCAAAAGTATTTATATTTTTAGTTTACACTATGCAGGTTCCACAACATATTCATGTTGTCCCAACACAAATTGATTAAGTAACTTAACACTTTTGACAAATTTATGAGGATTGAACATAAAACATAATGTTTGTTTTTGGTAAAAGGTTTCCGTTCATTTTACACTGTTCAAACTGTATATTGTATTGCCCTAACCCCACCCTACCCCTCAACCCAACCATCACAGGAGACTGTGTGCAGCTTCACTCTCGGAAATAAACTCATCCTGTCTGATTTAGAAGCTTGAGGTCAGCAATGTCCTCATATTTCACCTGCTTTTTGTGATAACTGTGTCATAGCAATGCCATAATACAGATTTTTTCATCCTCTTAAACCACATAAACAAGCACGCACACACACAATAATGCAAAAATCAAGCATCAGTCACTGATTGGTTTTTGACGTTTACTGTTAAACAAATGCTGGATTCCACATGATTCCTTCATGGTGTCTAACTAACATTAACTGAACTGTTTTTACAAAATTCAAGTGGGTTGAACTTAAAACAATTAAGTTGTGCCCAAAAAACTTCAAGAGTTGTGTTGTTTCAGCCTATTTTAAATAAGTTTTAAGTGTATACAACACATTGTTCTTTTAAACCACATAAACACACACACACACACACACACACACACACACACACACACACACACACACACACACACACACACAATAACGTAAATACTAATATCCGCAGTATTGTTAATCAAGTATCAGTCACTGATTCTTTTTTGACATTTACCGTAAAAAAGCTGGGTTCCACACAATTCCTTCATGTTGTCACAACACAAATCGATTAAGTCAATTTCATTGTATTTACAAATTTAAGTGGATTGAAAATAAAACAATTAGGTTGTCCCAAAAAAAAAAACAAAAGAATTGTGTTGATTCAGCTCACTTTAAATAAAAGTAGTTTAAAAAGCAGCAAAAGTAGTGTTTGTCCTCATAAACCACATAAACAAGCACAAACACACACACACACACACACACACACACAATAATACAAAATCAAGCATCAGTCATTGATTTGTTCTTGACATTTACTGTTAAACAGATTCCTCCATGTTGTCTCACTAACATTAACTGAACTGTTTTTACAACATTCAAGTGGGTTGAACATAAAACAATTAAGTTGTGCCCAAAAAAACATTAAGAATCATGTTGTTTCAGCCTATTATAAATAAGTTTTGAGTGTATACAACACATTGTTCTTTTAAACCACATAAACAAACACACACACACACACAATAATGCAAACACTAATATCCGCAGTATTGTTAATCAAGTATCAGTGACTGATTCATTATTGACATTTACCGTAAAAAAGCTGGGTTCCACACAATTCCTTCATGTTGTCCCAACACAAATCCATTAAGTCAACTTCATTGTTTTTACAAATTTAAGTGGATTGAACATAAAACAATTAGGTTGTCCCAAAAAACCCTTAAGTATTGTGTTGATTCAGCTCAATTAAAACAAGTAGTTTGAACAAACAGCACATGAAACAGTTTTGGGTGTAAAACAAATGCTGGATTCAACACAATTCCTTTATGCTGTCTAATTAGCTAAATTTTATTTTATTTTTTACAAAATTTAAGTGGATTGAACATAAAACAGTTAAGTTGTCCCCCCAAAAAAACCTTAAGAATTGTGTTGTCTCAACTCATTTCAAATTAAAGTAGTTTAAAAGATCAGCAAAATAAATGTTTGTCCTCTTAAACCACACACACACACACACACACACACACACACACACACACACACACACACACACATACACACACACACACACACACACACACACACACACACACACAAACACACACACACAAACACACAAACACAATAATACAAAATCAAGCATCAGTCATTGATTTGTTCTTGACATTTACTGTAAAAAAAATTCCTCCATGTTGTCTAACTAACATTAACTGAACTGTTTTTACAAAATTTAAGTGGATTGAACATAAAACAATTAGGTTGTCCCAAAAAAACCTTAAGTATTGTGTTGATTCAGCTCAATTTAAACAAGTAGTTTGAACAAACAGCACATGAAACAGTTTTGGGTGTAAAACAAATGCTGGATTCAACACAATTCCTTTATGCTGTCTAATTAGCTAAATTTTATTTTATTTTTTTACAAAATTTAAGTGGATTGAACATAAAACAATTAAGTTGTCCCCCCCAAAAACCTTAAGAATTGTGTTGTCTCAGCTCATTTCAAATTAAAGTAGTTTAAAAGATTAGCAAAATAAATGTTTGTCCTCTTAAACCACACACACACACACACACACACACACACACACACACACACACACACACGCACACACACACACACACACAAACACAATAATACAAAATCAAGCATCAGTCATTGATTTGTTCTTGACATTTACTGTTAAACAAAAATTCAAGTGGAGGGAACATAAAACAATTAAGTTGTCCCCAAAAACCTCAAGAATTTAGTTGTTTCAGCTCATTTTAAATAAGTTTTGAGTGTGTACAACAAATTGTTATTTTAAATCACATAAACACACACACACACACACACAATAATGCAAACAATAACACTAATATCCGCAGTATTCTTAACAAGCATCAGTCACTGATCCGTTTTTGACATTCACTGTAAAAAAAAAAAAAAGCTGGGTTCCACACAGTTTCTTCATGTTGTCCCAACACAAATCGATTAAGTCAACTTCATTGTTTTTACAAATTTAAGTGGATTGAACATCAAACAATTAGGTTGTCCCATAAAAACCTTCAGAATTGCAAGTAGTTTAAAGTCTGTCTGAGAGATTCATACTCCTCAAACATAGTCTTTCCTATCATATCCGTTGACAGAGAGGGATTTGACCCCAGAGTACTCCACCCTTGACGGCGCAGCATTTCCGCGCGCTTTCGAAGAGCACGAACACGTCAAAATTGCTCCGCCAAGTATCAGCAGACATGACGCACCCCATCCGAAATACAGCGAGTTCCCAAACTCCCTCTTCTGCTTATCTTCCATTAGCGGGTTGTGGAAATCCATAACGATGCCATTGGCTGTCCAGCAGACGGCAACTAACAGTAGTAGCCCACACAAAATAAACGTGCCCCCGGCTGCCATTATTATACGCGGTTTGCTTGCTGGATCTGACGTACAGTTAGTGCACTTCGCTCCAGCCACGGACATCGCTATACCCACCACACCGAGCAGTGTACTTACAACGGTAAGCGCGCGGGCAGCCTGCAAGTCATCTGGAAGTCCAAGCATGGAGTCGTACACCCTGCAATGCATCTGTCCCGTGCTTTGCACCACGCAGCTCATCCACAAACCTTCCCAAACGATCTGCGTGATGACTATGTTCTGGCCTATATATGCAGCCACTCTCCACATGGGCAAACAGCAGGCGACCATAACCCCGAGCCAGCCGGCCACGGTCAGGATCATCCCCAATATCTCCAAACCGGCTGAAGCCATGGTGCTGTTTAAGTAGCGTCCTGGAGATTAGCTGTGCAAGCCGTTCTCAGGCTTTCTTTGAATGAGCGAATGGTGAAAGGGAAAGGGAGAGGGATTCTTCTTTAAATGAAGGAACGGGGAGAGGGAGATACAGTTTCTAGCTTCTTTATACTGCTAAGAGAACCGGGAAGGTGGAGTCTTGAATGGCATCATGTTGTAGTCTGAGACTTTTCAGCATTGGTGAAGCCTACATAAGCTTCAGTCTTGGGAGAGGACTTTATTTTGAACTGTTTCTATTAAAATACTGCATATCTAGGCTTTTAAATGCATCATTTTCATATTTAATGATATGAAACATTGGTAATAATCAAAGGATACCAACATGTCTGTCATATTAGCTTAAAGAAGTTTTAAATTAATGGATAGTTCACCCACAAATTAACATTTACCCACGGTTTACACACACTCAAGTGTTTCCAAACCTTTATCAGTAGAGATAATGAAGATATTGTGAAGGAAGCTGAAAAACTGTGACTTCCACAGTAGGACAAACCAATGCTATGAAGGTCAATGGTTACAGGTTTTGGGCATTCTTCAAAGTGTCATCTTTCATATTCAATGGAAGGAAGAAATGTAAACAGGTTTGTTTGTGAAATGATTGATGATTTGTAGTGAATTATTCCTTTATTATTAATATTGACGCCTAAGAATATATGGACTGACTTGTAAGTTAAACAGCACTAAAATAACACGTCTTTCTATTCAAATACTGCACATCTAGGATAATAAATGTATGATTTTTATATTTAATGATATTAAACACTGATAATAATCAAAGGATGCCAACATGTCTGTCATATTAGCTTAAAGAAGTTCGAAATTAATGGATAGTTCACCCACATATTAACATTTACCCACGGTTTACACACACTCAAGTGTTTCCAAACCTTTATCAGTAGAGATAATGAAGATATTTTGAAGGAAGCTGAAAAACTGACTTGCACAGTAGGACAAACCAATGCTATGAAGGTCAATGGTTAAAGGTTTTGGGCATTCTTCAAAGTGTCATCTTTCATGTTCAATGGAAGGAAGAAATGTAAACAGGTTTGTTTGTCAAGTGATTGATGATCTGTAGTGAATTATTCCTTTATTATTAATATTGACGCCTAAGAATATATGGACTGACTTGTAAGTTAAACAGCACTAAAATAAAATTCCTTTCCATTCAAATACTGCACATATAGAATATTAAATGTATGATTTTTATGTGTAATGATATGAAACACTGGTAATAATCAAAGGATGTCACAATGTCTGTCATATTAGCTTAAAGAAGTTCGAAATTAATGGATAGTTCACACACAAATTAACATTTACCCACGGTTTACACACACTCAAGTGTTTCCAAACCTTTATTAGTAGAGATAATGAAGATATTGTGAAGGAAGCTGAAAAACTGTGACTTCCACAGTAGGACAAACCAATGCTATGAAGGTCAATGGTTACAGGTTTTGGGCATTCTTCAAAGTGTCATCTTTCAGGTTTAATTGAAGGAAGAAATGTAAACAGGTTTGTTTGTCAAGTGATTGATGATCTGTAGTGAATTATTCCTTTATTATTAATATTGACGCCTAAGAATATATGGACTGACTTGTAAGTTAAACAGCACTAAAATAACACGTCTTTCTATTCAAATACTGCACATCTAGGATAATAAATGTATGATTTTTATATTTATTGATATTAAACACTGATAATAATCAAAGGATGCCAACATGTCTGTCATATTAGCTTAAAGAAGTTTGAAATTAATGGATAGTTCACCCACATATTAACATTTACCCACGGTTTACACACACTCAAGTGTTTCCAAACCTTTATTAGAGATAATTAAGATATTTTGAAGGAAGCTGAAAAACTGTGACTTCCACAGTAGGACAAACCAATGCTATGAAGGTCAATGGTTACAGGTTTTGGGCATTCTTCAAAGTGTCATCTTTCATATTCAATGGAAGGAAGAAATGTAAACAGGTTTGTTTGTCAAGTGATTGACGATCTGAGGTGAATTATTCCTTTATTATTAATATTGACGCCTAAAAATATATGGACTGACTTGTAAGTTAAACAGCACTAAAATAACACGTCTTTCTTCGTTACTTGTTTGCCTCCCTGTAATCATATAGTTCGGGTTTCAGATCGGTTGTTCTTTCAGCACATCCTGCCTGGCGTTATATTAAAGTATACATTCTTGCCTGACATTACAATTATACTAATGGCTTATGAGTCCAATGTCTCCTGATAACCTTGAGGTGGAACTGCTGAATCACTCCTCTTTGAGAGGGGACAAGTCATGTCTTTGTCTTCAGGAGCGCTGGCCGCTTGCATGAAAGCCCTTTAGTAATTTGACTTGAGGTATCCCTGAAGGCAGAAAAATCCCTGAGGGAAGGGATTGTATTAAGAGCTTTTCAACAAAGTTTGTAAATGTCACCGCTAGCAAAGTGATTTTCACTAATCATTTCGCTGTAGTGTCTGGAAACAAGACTTTGTAGCTATGGATCATTTAATTAAGAAGGAATACCCAAGGACAGCCATAAGTTCCTTTAAGTTGACCCTTAGATCATTTTCTTGCAACCAGAGGTCGCGTTAGACTTTCTCATTGTCCGTCATTTTGACGGAGAGGGTTGTAAAAATTCCGTCATAACCTTTTATTGACCGTCAATTAATTTGCATATTTTCTAATCGTTTTTTCATTCATATTTTAATAATGAAGTTGCACGACGTGCATATAGGCTAAATTATTTATTTATTTATTTATTTATTTGACAAATTAACAAAAACTCCTATCTGCCTTAACTCATATCTTCTTTCTGCGTCGACCTGAACTGGGTGCTCGTCTGTGCGTAATCAAACGCATCAATTAAGGGAGACTGTCTTTGGCTCGGAAAGTCGACTTCTCGCAACCAAAGATCGGATTTACTAGCGCCACTTCTGCCAGCTTTTTTAAGTTAGGAAACATTTCTTCTAAGGCTGTGTTCAGAAAGTTTGCTGGATTCTCTGAATGTGGGATTTCCGATCCTGCGAGCACTTGTTTCACCGGGAAAAAATACTACAGCACTCGCTCCTTCTGTCCGGTAGTGCTCACAACCAGGGCCGGAGCTAGCTGAACTGCCACTCTAGGCAGAGGGCGATCATGCCGCCCTCAATCCCAATGTGAAAACGAAAGTGACCGGTTATGAAAATTAAGTGAGGTGTCGCGGACCTCTTTTCCAGCGCACTATGCACGGATATAACTGAGGACACGCGGGTGCTGAGGGAGGGAGGTGTCGCGGACACTGCGCTCACTATTGGTCGCCTAGGTCGCTCTATGGACACGCCGGCCCTGCTCACAACACACCCTAGAGAGCAAAATACACTTGTGCCAGTTCCGGCTAGATTCTCGCCTGCTGAAGACTCCGGCTGCTGTACTCGGGCCAGATGCCTGTGGACTCACTGCCCGGTTCCGGCCCGTGTCTGTCAGGTCAGATGCGGCAGCCATTCGCGAGCTGATGCTGCCGCATCCGAGCCAGAATCGGTTCGCGAGTAATGGGTGCTGCGGCCCGGAGCTGGCGCGACTCAGTCTTCATATATACCTTCATATCAACCTTTTGGTATTACATCGTTACCATTTAATTTATATGACAGCAAACTCAGGCTATAATGTAAACACAAAGTGTAGGCACTGCGTTTAACCTTTGAATAAAATGCAAAGAGCATGTCCCATAACAAAAATAATCAAACAAAGGATAAAATACATAATAATAAACGTATATTGATTGCAAGAAACAAATAATACTAAAAATGAATAAATTATTTAGTAGTGCACAAGAGCATCAATATAAAAACAATAAACCTGACCTTGCTAGCTGCTGCTTGATTGGATCGTATTTTTGTCTGTTCTTCATCGACTACTGCATCACGTCCCCTTTTTTTACCTTTATTATTAATATCACAACTATTTGGCCGTTTAAAGAATCTTCTCACACTCAGCTGCTGTGACATTTTTGCAACTGTACGCAGCGGTGACAAAGAGGAGACAAAACAACGGCAATCGCCATCAGCTGGACAGGAGTGGGAATTACAGTTAGCAACAAATTACAATAGATCACCCTCAGGATAACCCGTCAAAATGACGGATCACTTTCAGATTTTTCCGTCACTGCTAAAAAAAAATCTGTCAATGACGGAAAATATTCGGTTAACGCGCCCTCTGCTTGCAACCCAAGTTTGGCCGAAGGCACTCTTAATCTAATAACTAAGGCTGCATTTACACTGATCTTGATGGTCAATTCCGATGTTGTGACTGTATGCGATTTTTTTTGATGACCTGCTTACATCGTCTTTTAAAAGTGACGTATCCGATCATATGCATTTACAGAGCTCACGGCAAAGGCGCAATGACCAGGAACAAAAGAGCGGGCGCTGACTAACAGCTGATAATTAAAGGGTGCTCTCTATTCATGTATGTAATCTGTTTGCAGCTTTTGACAAGCTGTTCTACTATAGTTTATGACAGAAAGCTTCTCATTTGTTCATCTTCTTTTGATATACTGGCTTTTTTAAACCTTTAGGCATATTAACGTTATGTCCATGGCGTGATTTATGCACGTGATGTATGTACGTGGCGGACATTGCACTCTCTCGCTCTCGTTAACATGCTTAAATACCTGTGTTACAGTATATGACAATATAAAAGCTGTTTAAGTCCGGTGACACAGTGGCGCAGTAGGTAGTGCTGTCACCTCATAGCAAGAAGGTCGCTGGTTTGAGCCTTGACTGGGTCAGTTGGTGTTTCTGTGAGGGGTTTGCATGTTCTCCCAGCGTTGGTGTGGGTTTCCTCCGGACAAAGACATGCGGTAGAGGTGAATTGGATACAGGCTAAATTGTCCGTAGTGTATGAGAGTGTATGGATGTTTTCCAGAGATGGGTTGCAGCTGGAAGGGCATCCGCTGTGTGGAACACGTGCTGGATAAGTTGGTGGTTCATTCCGCTGTGGCAACCCCAGATTAATAAAGGAACAAAGCCAAAAAGAAAATGAATGACTGAATGAATGTCCTCGTGTATGAGATTTAAGGTTTGGGAGTCTGTTGTGAAATGAAAGTGTCAGACTTGACGTCATTCGCTATGGTTTTTAATGGCGGCTTACATTGACAGGTGAAAATTCGATCTACCTGCTTACACTGCAGACACGAGACACAGATCTGATTCATATCGGATAAATTTCCACATATGAACAAGGCCTGAATCTGATTTGAGTAAATCTGAATCCATGTGATTTGTTCCTGCTTACAGGTACACGGGCCATATCCGATCTGTACCACATGGGAGAAACAAATCGGAATTGAGTCACTTGAACAGCGCAGTGTAAATGCGGCCAAAAAGATTCAAGGGACAGTTCTTTTGAAAGTGAGAATTATAACATAGGCTGATTGGGAATGCGTGCCCAGGTTACGTTTTTGGGAACCTGCAAACACGTGACTCGGCTCGACAGAAGTTTGCCTACAGTTTCTGGCTAACATAAACTCTCATTCTAAAAATGCTGCCCTTCGTGTTTCTGTAACCTTCCCCAGCCTTGTGCCTCATGACAATCCTGTCTCTGAGGTCTACAGACAATTCCTTTGTCTTCATGATTGGTTTGTGCTTTGACATGCACTGTCAACCCTGGGCCCTAATATAGACAGGTGTATGCCTTATCAAATCATGTCTATTCAGCTGAATTGAGCACAGGTGAACTCCAATGAAGCTGCTGAAACATCTCA